TTTTGGTTGCTGCGCATTCGGGCTTAAGGCTTCGTTCACACTACAATAGCGAGCACACAATGATCTGACGAAAAATATCATCTGAATCAAAATAATCAAAAATTATTCATGCGACCATATGGGCTGAAACTGGGAATGAGAAGAAAAAAACAAAAAAACTCCGTTCATTTTTTCAATCACAATTTCATATAGGTACCTTTTTATTAATCATTGATAGTAATAAATAACTGATTCAATTGATTTTGATTTGAACATTTTGAACACGATCTGTAGGACATTGATGCATATACGTTCAATAGAGGGGTTTTCTTTGTTGTATTTTTCAGCGATTAACACTAAATTGTTATAATGAAGAATCGTACGAAAAGTGCATTTGGTTTTGTTTTTCTGGGTTCGATGTGGGTAAGTAAAAATTTAACAAAATCAAACATCAAATATAATAAATAATTGTGTAATTCTTTTTGAAGTAAGCAGAAATAGAATTTTAAAATGGTCAACAAATATATTACTTTCATGAATCTAAATGCTAAACATTATTCAAGTCAATTGACTTGGGAAAACTTCTTTTGGGTATGGGAAGAGTGAAGCTGAGGAAATCCAAAAATTCCAACCCGAAGCTCAGCCATGTGGACACTAGACACATTTATTCGCGTTGGCTCATCATTTGCCGATTTGCATGGTCTAGGCGCATAATGGAAAACAAACATGTTTTGGAGAAAGGAAGGAAAATCTACTGATCACAAATTAGAATGCGTTCAAAATCTGTGCAAAAATGAAGCTTGACGTTTTCGATAGGATTGACTGAACATTTTTAAACTAAAAAAAAAACTTTCCAAGTACCGTATTTCCGCTATTTAGAAAAAGTATGAGCTGCAATTCGATAGAACTGTGAAAGGATCAAAATGTCTAACTATTCGCTTTTCGTCGGGAAATTTTGCACGTTTACATAACGAATCTAATATTCAAAATGTTTAGGATTTTCAATATTATCCATCTGATTGAATATACTTGTCCCATATATTGTTATACGTAGATACTAATACATAACACATACTGATCGAATTAAAATAAAAAAAATGATGACAATAAAAAAAACAATGATGAAACCGGATGTAACTTAAAAATAAAGGACTCGATAATTTAATAAAAGTGGAAAATGTTTTTTTTTCGTTTTCGATCGGAAAGTTCGTATTTGATGTATGAATAGTTGCAAAAATTGATTATAAAATCAAAGAAAAAAAAAATATTAGAAACTTGAGTCTTGATATTTTTAATAGTAACGAAATTAATGTGTTTTGTCAAAGGTGTCTTTATGTTTATAGCCCGAAACATAACCAGCCGTGTCTACGATATCTTTTCGTCCAGCGATGCCTTTTCCTTTGCCGGTTTCATCAAAGCGCTCCTTGTGCGAACCCGTGTACTTTGATGGATCAGTCAAACGGCTCACAGCGGCTGCAGCTTTTCCACCCTGTGAATACAAACGAGTTAAACGACACGTTTTTTTCTTTACATTTACCACAGGCAAATACTCACGTTAGTGATTTGAGCTACACCGGGTGCACCACAATTAGCGAGCTTGTTTTTGATTTCAGTCAAATCAACTTTCTTGGTCGTGGCCAAATCGTCAAGGAATTTATTGTAGTCGGAGAAGGTGACCTTGAGCGATTTCAATTTCTTGAAATGGATGGCCGTGTCAGTTGTAGTGATTTTCTTGTCGATAACTTTTGCTTGTTTCATCCATTTATCGCTCTGTGACAGCGTTATTAATTTGCCATCGGATTTCGTGTCACCAAACTTGGAGAATGCCTTGAATTGCTCTTTAAATTCAGGACTATTTGCAGCCGAACCATTGTTCGACGTTCCATTGCTTTTGCCATTCTCCTCAATTGAGAGCTTCGCAAGGGCTGCGTCTGGAGTTGGTGCACTGGCTGCCATTCTATTATTTATCTGAAATCCAAACAAAAAGCACAAAATTATTAATACTGTTTGATTGACTGGATGTAATTTGTTGTTGTTGGTGTTATTGTTGCTCCATCGTTGTTATTCTTGCTGTTAGTTTGAACTCGAGTTTTGCTCAATAGCTCGCGCACAGCGTTTTGCTAATGTTCCAAATTTCGGACGTTTTTTTTTGTGTCTGTTGCCCATGCACATAGTGACCTAGTCAAATGGATTGTGTGTTTACCCACGACGTAGAAATTGTTTTGTTTATAAAATGTAAACGCCGTAGCTGTTAGTTATGCAAATTAATGTTCACAAAGTTTACCAACGAGTGAGCTGCTTGGCGTCGTTAAACGAAGCCGAAATTAAATAGATGTGATCCGAAGTGTTTGTACAATGTACACGCATATACATATATATAGTACATATATAGTATATATCCACATGTATCACAAGCATGCCAGAATGTGGCATTGTGTGATATATTCATTATCATCGCTTGAATACTTTCCGAATGATTTCATGGCATAGTTAAAAGTGGAAATGAAACGAATTTAAAAATTCGCTTGAAATTGTTCGAATCAACCAACTGAATTTCGTCTAATTTTTCCTTAATTTTTGAAATGTTTTTTTCCTTCTTTCAAATAAACTTAGTTCAATAATAATGACGAATAATGTAATCGACATTTTCTGGGTGCAGCGTTAAATGCTAATAGCACTCTCCCATCATGTATGTGTGTTTGCGCAAAAAAAAAAAATCAACAAATGGAAATTACGTAAGCGCTCAGTATATATTTTTAGAACTTTTTTTTTGTGTGTAACCAGAACGAGAAGTCGAAGAATGAAGAGAAAAAGAAATAAAAAAAACCCAACGAAAGCGCGGGAAATTTATGGAACGACAACAACGACAATTTATCAAAGATTTTATGCGTATTGAGCATTAAAACTTACACACAAATAATGAGATAGGGAAAACAATTTGTTTTCAAATTGGGCATTTCAGCACCACCAGAAATGCACATTTTGAATGCATAGCCATTTGAACGCGAAATTTTCAGCCGACGAAACTAAGCGGTTTAATTACAAAACAAACACTACTATGCCTGAAAATAACATGAAAGAATGGCATGCTCATGAACTCGTCTATTTCGTTCGCAGCAAAATATACGTGTTAAAGATACCAAAATAATCAACAAAGATAATAAGAACTAACATTAAACGAAAAGAAAAAAATTACGAGAATAATCACAAAATCAACGTTAAAAAAGCAGCACAAGATTTCCAATTATTTTGAATGACTTAATGTTTGGAGTGACGATATATTGTCTCTGTTCCATTACGTCTATTGTCACACCGTATTAGCTTATCGATTTGATTGTTGATATAGACATGATGACGATTGGGCGAAACGCGAATTAAAGGTAAATCCAAAGAACCTTGACATTATTTGGGACACATTTCTCCACTTGAAATTCGGTGTGGTAAAACGTAAACAAAGCCCTCATTGGATTCTTAAGTCATTTTTTTCTGCGAATAAACCACTTTCCCGTTAATCGTATTTAGTTTCGAAAATTTAGCGGTCATCACAACAACTACAGCACATTTGAATGTGTGATCATTGTCGGTGCGCATTCATACCAGCACAATTGTTTTTATCATAGATTTGATTGAAACGCTGTTTGATGATTCAATTGAGAGTGCACACTTGTGACCCTTTTTATTTTTTGCAATAATTCATAATTGTGCCGAAGGTTAGATAATGATTTCAATTGACCGGTGTTCGTGATGGAAAGAAAAAGGTTAAAAACGCTCAATCGAAACTGGTTTTTAGACTTTTTGGGCAAAGTTTCTGTATTCTTTTCTTCATATTTAGTTGCTTTAGGTTTTATCTCTTATCAATTTAATACAAACGGTTTTTATGATTTGCATCCGTTGGCAGTAATACTATATGGTATGATGTTGATTTCATACCTCATCAAAAGTGTCTTTGCTACCGAAAAAAAATACTGTTGGAGCCTACGAATGATTCAATCGTTACTATATCAACAAATAAAACACATTTTCATGGCCATGCCTATGACACGCATTTATTTTTTCCCGATCCAGACCCAATAAAAACTTTTCCTAGTGAAAGCGCGCAATAGAAAGCGGCGAAACTTTATATCCGTTTCAACGTTTTGTTTGTAAATTTGCGCGGAAAAAATGGATTTTGAATTGTTTTTAATTCAGGCTGTCAAATGAACGCATTTCCCACTGCTACTCACTTGAACAGAAACAAAAATGGGATGGGCACTAAGAAATAGTTCCACTCGTGAGTTTATTTTTACTTGGTTCTACAAAGTATTCAAAAATTTCAGCACTATCCTACGTCGTGTCTAACTGCAAACTGGCTCGATTACGAGAAACCGAGAAAATCATACAAATTGTCTGAAATACTAAAAACTGATTTGAAACGGTTTCGTAATCAGAACGAAATGCTATTCCAAAGTAATGTCTTTGAAGTCTGTAATTTATTTCAAGACGATCAAAAGCGAAAGAAGCGAAGAAAAAACGTTGCCGCAATTTAATCCTGGTGAAAAATGATTTGCATTTAGGTTGAGAATTTAAGGCACATTCGTGGCTCACAAGACTGTGGTGGTGCGAATCAAGAGTAATGTCGAGTGAAAATGAGACTTCAATAAAGATTAATTATAGGCCATTTGCACGCACGCATATACGCGATGGTTTTGCCCTATTTGCAAATAATTAATGTGCCATTATGTATTATCGTAATGGAATTGGTTTAGGTTGTTGGCTGACCGGTCAACTTTCTTTCCATTACTGAAAAATGCAGGAATAAACCATAAATTATGAATGAATCGATATTCTTTGATTCAAGTGACGAGAAGGAGAGAGAGAGAGATAAAAAGTAAATCAAATTACTAAATAATTTGCAGCAAATACATATATTGATGTGGACAAGCGAAAGTGTGAATGGGCCAATTTCACACGGGCAGAAAAACTACAAAAAAAAAAACGCGCATGAAATTAATAAAGGCAGTTTGGTGAGGAAGTAAAACTTGGTCAAACGTTGCGTGTTTGACCTGTTTGCCGTGCTTGCGTTGTGTGAAATAATGTGTGTTTGTTTCTCTCATTCACATTTTTTGCTCGCCAATACAAACCTTCACCGTTGGTGGCATGCACAATGTCATCATACACGGAGTGTATGTGTCATTTATGTTGTGTGGATTAGAGTCATGCCGATGCCCTAACGCTGCCACATACAAAAGACTATGCAGCCTCAAGTTCTTCGGAATTGACGGAAAGTGAACACACGAAACGGGAGCATTTTCATGCGCATGCCAAAAGCATTTCATATTGCACGAACTTTCACAAGAAATCGATAATATGAATCATAATTATACGTATCCCGTTTCATTCCAGACAACATCACAATGCTTCCATCCTTGTCACCATGCTCTTCTTTTGTACGCCGTATTTTGTTGTCTGAAACGTTGCCTTTTCCTTCTTTCCGTTCCCCAAATGACATCATCTCGAAAATTTCGTACAAGTTTCAATGAGTCCCGATGATTTTTTTTCGCACACTTTTCGTGTGATTCATCTCATTTTCCATTCCGTTCACATAGATTCGTTTTTCTCTTTCTCTCTCTCAGAATGACCTTCGAGAATGAATACGATTGAGGATGGACGCATGTATCGGTTTCGTTTAGTTTTTCTTTCACGACAAACAAATTAATTGTTTACCGTATTCACGATTAGGTCACTGCTATTGTTATTCGCATTGGACGATAATAAAAAAAAATTATCAAAAATCATCCCGTCCATTCCATGATGTCATTTCTCATGTTGAAAAACATGAAATACAACAAACGATCCGGACAAATCATTGACAAAAAAAAAATCCGACAGCACATTCGATGCCAATAGAGATAAGAACGAGGTGTTTAAGATGATTATATTTCGCTGGATTTTGATTACGTTGGACCGAACAGTTCAATGCATATAATATTTCTACTTGACGATGAAACCATCAATCATGGAATTTCAATGACTTGTATGTGTTTATCATAATTACGCACCAGACTTTCGATATATGAGCATTCGCTAATTGTGTATTCTTTACATTTTGCCTATAATTCATAGCTGAGAAAAAAAAATTTCTATTTGTTTACCTTTTATATCAAACGATTCACAGAATCCAAGCGATTTAATATGGATAATAAGCTGGTTGCAGTTATGAGCTGTTTTTTGTTTGTCTATCAATTCGAAGTCACGCACGATGGATCACTGCAACGCATTCAATTTCACAAATTAAATAAGAAAATGAAATGATTTTCACGAACGCACAAATCTTCTTGATGATTTTTGCTTCGAAGGCAATTTTTTGATTTTTTCGGTTCGAATATTTGTATCTTTATTTTTCCTTTCAAAACTATCGACTCTGTTGCTGCGTTCGATGGAGACACCAGATGCAAATAAAAAACAAAACACTTGTGGGAGAATGAGATTTTGGCGTTGAGAGTGTAACGACGATAAAGTGTTTGGTTTGAAAAAAGTGTGTTTTGTTGTTGACGATTGAATCGAATCAAGCGTACTGATAGCAGATATGTTTTCGTTGGCTGTGTTTACCGTCTCTCCCGCGGTTTAGAGCGCTCTCGCTTTACGATATATTCATACGATACGAATAAACAGAGCACACACACAGAATAAAATTAGAAACATCAGCAGCAGCAGCAGCAGCAGCAGCACAGGCACCAGCTACGCAGTTACGGAGCGACAAAAAGCGGCAGAAGTAAACGTAACAAAATAAGCGAGAGAGAAAGAGAGCGAGAACAAGAGCGAATGAACGAACGTATGAGCACAGAGCTGTTAAACGCTCGCAACAACAATAGCGTACGGTGCAACCACAACAGAAGTCGGAACGCGCACGTTTTGGCGGAGAAATTTTTTATTCGTACCAAGACACAATCACAGAGCAGACGCTAAAACATGTGCAAAACTGTGTTTGCGATGAGAGAAGAGAGAGAGAGAGAGCCAACACATAGATGCACTATGCGTTCTTTTTTTCTTTCAACCGCTATTTGGATACCGTGTCAACACAAATTAACACCGAAACGATGGAAATGTTGAAACACAGAGAGTTTTGATGTGTGTCAATTTGAAATGTGCGAACGGTAAATTTCGGTTGCATGCAGAAAAATTCTTTCAGATTTATACGTTTTTGTTTGTCTTGGATTCCATTTCATTTTAGCAATTTTGCAACATTATAATTGTTGACAGCTTTGCATCAAGTAGTTGTTTTTTTTCTCGTTATTTCTCTCCTTCTCGTTGGTGTTTAATTCGTTTGTGTGGCGGATCAAATTTTGCGGTTATTTGGAAATGAAATCGAATCGTAGGTATGAAATGGTTACATGCGGCGACAAATTAATTGATTGCTCTAGGTATTCGCTTCAATTGATTAATAGCAATGATAGTCTTGCCTTTTAAAAACCAGTCATTTCAATTCGAAAACCCATTTGTATTGACTGGATCGCTAGTGAATTTCACAAGCACTGAGGCAAAAAAAAAAAACGAATTAAACGCTGTGGCAGCGAATTGATGTCGTGTTGATTCATTTTGATTGTATTGTCACAAAAATTAAACTGTCTTCGTTTGCTGGCGTGAAACGAGAATAATGTGAAAATGGATTATTTACAGTAGAACCTCTCGACGATGGAAACTCAACTGGTCAACACATTATCCACTATCTTGATGTTTCCAATATTGAAAGGTCCATTTGTATGATACTTTGAAGATGAATTAGAAATAAAGGAAATTCCAATAGAAGGAGGAGATTCCGGTGAATAAAGGTTCCACTGTTAAGTGGTGTTACTGTATTTCATTTATTTGAACTTAACTGATTTTTTTTTTCGTTCACATAGATGGTTGTAATTTGTACGGTGGCTGAAACAAAACTGTTTAAATTTATTGCCTTATCCATTTTTATTGATATCAAATTGCTTCGATTCGATCATACTACATCAACGTCGACATTTTGGTGGATCAATCTCGATCGAAGGGAAATGCGATGAAAAGACAGAGACAACTCACTTTTCGATCGATTGAAGGTTAAACCAGTTTTTCCGCGGTTTCATCGTTCGCATATATATAAGTCGAAACTGCCTTCATAGCTGATCATTCAAATTGATTGAATTCTTGAGTTTATTCGAATCGATCTTTTTGTCGTCTATTACCGAGAAGACGAGTTTGAATTGTCTTTTTTGCTTTTGCTCATTTTGTCGTAGCTCATGTATTATTTGTTTGCAATTTGAAAAAGAAAAAAAAAATGTTTTATTAATTTTGTGCTTGCTTTTATTCCATTTACGACTAGATGCTGTAATTTTTTTCTTTCTTTCTCATTTTCTATTCGTGTCTCGTGAGTGCATGGTTGCATAGTGATGACGATGTGGATGTGCATGCTATAGACGGTAAAAGAACGCGAAAGTTAGCATAAGGTCGGTTGTTTTGTTGGTTTTTAGAGAAAGATATATCAACGCAAACGAGAAGACACGTAGCAAATAGACGACGACAACAGCAAAAAGACGAAACTAAAAATGAAAGTACATGAATTTCACTCATCGCAGAGTTCTTGTTTTGCCACAGACATTTATAGAGCAAATGGTTTTTCATTGCCATTTTAGGACGGTTCATGTATCGTTATCGGTGGAGCAGGCGGAATGGGTGTGCAGATTTGTCGTAAATTATTGGAAAACGACATCGCTGTATGTTCTCTCGATTCGAAAACTAACTGTCAATAATCTTCAAGTACGAGTCATAATGAAAGTTTCGTTTTCATCATTAGAATTTGGCCATTGTCGACATACAAACGAAGCCAGTCGATTTGCTTGACAAGCTGAAAACACAAAATCCAACTACCCGCATCGTTTACTTTGAATGCGATATTTCGGTCAAAGATGAACTTGAATCCACATTTCAATCGATTGCAGACATGTTTAAACAAGTAGGCATTCTGATCAACGCAGCCGGTACCTTCAATGACAAAGACGTTCAGCTAACATTCAAAGTGAACGTGGTAAGATCTTTTAACTATTACCAAAAAAAAATGTTTGTCAACTTATGAGTCTGTAATCTGTATATAATTGGGTGTGTATTCTCCCAGTTTGGAATGATTTACTCGACAATGCTCGGAATGGAAATAATGAGCAAGGAGAAACGAAACGGTTCAACTGATGCAGTCATCGTTAACATCGCATCGTTGGTTGGTTTGGACCCATTTCACCTATTGCCCATTTACACAGCTTCGAAACATGCCATTGTGGGGTTCTCAAGAGCGTACAGTGTATGACTCGACTACTTTAATTCATGTTAACGGAGAAAATGTGTTAATTTTGGTAAAATTAAAAAAAAAATTACAGCACGAATGCTACTCTGGTCGAAGTGGAGTAAAAATCGTCGTTCTCTGTCCTGGCGCCACGACAACCAGTTTTGTCCGTCAATTCTCTGGCAACATGATTGTTCCCGATGAAATTGATGCACTTAATTTCTTTCGCTCTGTTCCAATGCAAAGGTATTTTAGTCTGTTGTGACATATTTTTCGTTAGCCTTTAGCCTAGTTTACAGTTCGCCATTGAACATTGACCGGTAATTGTTTTGCATGCCAAAAAAAATCGCATTTATCTCGAAAATTTTGTCGAGCGGAGATTTTTGCATAGACGATATTAAAACAATAGTTGTTTTTTTTTTTGTCGAATCATTTTTTATTTTAATCTTTTATTTTCAATTCTGAACCGTCTTATTGATTACGTTTAGCTCTGAACGGGTGGCCGAACACACAATCGAGCTAATAAAAACAGCAGAAAATGGGACAGTTTGGTTGAGCGACAATGGGAGTTTAACAAAGATTACAATGACGACTTATGGCAAATACAATTGATTGGATTTTGAACTTCTACAGCAAATTACCTACACTTTGGACGTATTTAAAATTACCGTAATCTCAGTCTTATCATAACACAACCAATATTCATTTCTTAATAATGTAAATGGAAAATATTTACAAACACTTTTCGAAATATAATTAACAGTTCAGTCTTATGTTATAAATGCGATTGCAAGTGTGTGTGAAAATATTATTATCGATAAAGAACATTAATACTTCAATAACAAAATGCATTGCGTCCATGAAGTAAACACCAACGTTTTGATTGAAAATGAAGCAACCATGATTACAATGTTCAGTTGAACGCAAACGTTATTCTCGAACACAAACACACTTGTTTTCTGTTTCACGATGACATTTGAAAATCAAAATTTTATTGTGGTCGGTGGAGCTAAATTGGGAGGCATTGGTTTAAAATTCATCCGAGAACTTTTTTTGAATGGAGTTGAGGTGAATTGCAAAATAAGGTATGAAAGGAAAATGAAATAAAAATATTTCTTCCTATAGAATGTTGCAACATTCGATATTTGTGATCTAAGCGACGCTATTGCCGAATTGAAATCCGAATTTCCCGATAAAACGCTTCTATTCAACAAAGTTGATGTTCGCAAGCAAGCCGAAATTGAGACTGCTTTCAAAGACGTTGTAAATGCGTTTGGTCATGTCGATATCTTGGCGAATTTTGCTGGAATTTTCAACGAGCAGAAGCCAATGGATGTCATCGAAATTAATCTTGTAAGCAATACATCTACCTTGCATTCGTTCCCGAAATGTTGCCATCAATCAGGTTTTTATTCCAAATTGCAGCTTGGAGTTATTTATGCTACATTGATTGGAATCGACCATATGAGCATTGCAAAAGGTGGACGAGGAGGAACGATATTGAATATGGCTTCAATTTGTGGCCTAGATCCATTTTTCTGGGGTCCTGTTTATTGTGCTAGTAAACATGGTGTCGTCGGTTTTACTAAATCGCTTGCTGAAAAGGAGCTGGAATCCGAATTGGGCATAAAATTTATCATCATTTGTCCTGGCTTCACAGAAACCACTCTCTTAACCAAGGTGGACTCGACGTTATACGGACAAAATGTTGCTTCAGAGCGTCCGCAAGATATATATGGGATACAAACGTACGTTACCAATTAGTAAATCTAATGTAAAATTTATACCAGATAACCAGTAATTTCAAAGAATACAATTTTTCTTCATATTATTAGAGTGGACCAATGTGCCAAAGGTATAGTAGAGGTGATGAAGAAATCAAAGAATGGAGAGGCCTGGATTTTGAGCAAAGGATATCATAAGAAAGTGGACTTTCAACTCTATTACAAAAACAATTGAATAAAATTTATTTTTGAAATATCATAAAAATTAACAATAACAATGTTGCCTCATCCAATTTTAAACGAAATGAATGCAAATCATTTGAATCACTGCACTGTTCTATAAGATATTGTGGAATAATATTAAAATAAAGAATTAAATTCGCAATTTTTTGTGGTCAATTCAAGAGAATTTCAATTCAAATTCAGTTGTGCTCCTTTGTTTGTAGAAGAATTTCATGTCAGAAGCATTTTGCAGTTGTCCAAATTATTAGAGCAGTTGCGCGTTTTCGATTATGCTTCAAGGCTTAGGGTTTTAGTTCTATCTTTGCTGAAGTAAATGAAACTTCTTGGAAAATAAAATCACAATCAAATACAAAAAAATAATTCCTTCCCATTGAAAATACGATATTGGAATATATTGAGTTATGGTGCTCGTCTATGTTCATGTTCATATTTACTGTACTTTATGTTGGGGATGTTACTGGCCAAATCTGTGGCAAATTTTATAAATTTCTTTCAAAATTTAATCTTAAAAACGAATTTTTATCACCAAATGTAAAAAAGCGACCAAAATATCATCTGCGTATACATTAAATGGCTAACATGAAACGATCAAATTTGTATGGAACTCAAATTTGAGAAACAAATTTCGTTATCTCTACCCTTTATCAGTAAGACATGTTTTGACTGATGCGATTCCTGTTTATTCGAGGTGTACTTTGGCCAGTGTTTAGTCGTCACACTTTGATCGGTGTGAATATGGGACCAACGACAACGCACTTCCCGAACATTCATTATGGTTCTGTCTCTCGAATCGACACGACACCATTTTTACAACTCTTCTACATCTCGAGTAATATTATGGCGTTCAAAGGGAAAACAGCAATTATAACGGGCGGTTTAGGTGGCATTGGCTATGCAACAGCCGAATGTTTTCTTCGAAATGGCATATCGGTATGTTAATTTTGTCCATCATTTTATCAACAATTGTATAAATGATTGCATTTATAGGGCCTTGCCATTTTGGATATAGCGAAATGTGATGCAAAAGTTGAGACACTACAAAATAATTATAAGACATCGAAAATAGTGTTTTTATCGATCGATGTGGGTGATGTTGAATGGGTTGAGCGAGTATTTCAAGAGATTTGGACCGAATTTGGAAAAATTGATATTTTAGTCAACGGAGCAGGAATTTTAGACGAAAAAGATGCCGAAAAGTGTTTGAGAGTGAATTTGGCAAGTGATTATACGAGAATAAAGAGTTCTTAGGTCCTTTTGTATGGGTGTGAATTTTTTTCTGTGTTTTTTTTTCATCAAATTAAGTTGGGTGTAATAAATACGTGCCAAATTGCGGTCAAAATGATGGACAAGCAAATGGGTGGTAATGCAGGGATTATTCTCAATATTTCATCGATGCTTGGTGTCAAAGTGAAGCCAGGATTGCCACTGTATTGCGCTACCAAACATGGTGTCGTTGCATTCACAAGAACGATGGCCGTAAGGAATCGAGACACTCATTAAATTTTTTTCTTTATTTTAAAATCATTTTTGCGATTGTTCCGTAGGATGGCTCTTACTTTGAAAAGTATGGAATAAAGTTTATTAATATCTGCCCGAGCAAAACACACACCCCAATGATTGATCAGCTGTGCAAAACACTCCAGGTTAAGTCATTAGATGATTTAGTGGATGACAAACGACCGATTCAAAGGTATATTTCATTTGAACTAAATTAATTCGAATAATAATCAAATCGTATACCTATACATTGCAGTGCCGAAGATTGTGCGAAATGCATTATTGTGATAATATTATCGGGCGAGAACGGTTCGACATGGTCAATTAGCGGTGGCAAAATAAAACGAATCTTTTGTGACGAATGATTGTGATCGCGTGATTGATATCAAATAAAAACACATTTGTGGCTAAGCTTCTAGAAAATAATTGCATGTAATTTAATGCGGCTATAACAGAACATTTTCAACCTATTTAAAAGCTTTGACGTTCATATTAGCTCTTGTGTGTTTTTTATTGGAAACATGTTGCAACACATTTTCTTTATATCCTTTATGCACAAACACGGTGTACAACACTAGGGTAAGTTTGCAACGGCTGTAATTGAGTGACCGGAAGTAATAACGATTTTAAATTCTAAGCTTTTTCAAATATGTCTTAAACGTTGGGGGAAAACGGCGGTTTGCAAAGAATTATTCCATGATGTCATGAGCGATTGAGCATTCCACACTTTAATTTAAATTACCAAGATGATTTGTTCTTTTTTTTTGGTGGACAAAAATGCCCATTTGGCGTTGCAGGTGAAAAAAAAAACGGATGGAACATCGGAAGCAAAACGAATTGAATTAAAAATACCGTCTTAACGACGGTGCGACAGTGTGTGTACCTGTGCATGCACTTGAATCGAAGCACGAGTGATACTGTTGCGTTCAATGTATGAGACACAAAATGTGAAACACAAAGTACTACGTTTGTCTCTATCCGTCATTCGTCGCAGAGCCGCTCATTCGGCGATTCATATAAATATAGAACGGGCGATGACTGTGTGTGAGCGACAGAGTCGAAGGGATTTTGAATACCGAGATAGTTTTGTGCGTCGACGCGTCGCGATGCCATGAAATTTTGTGCACACATTATACTCACAAGCAGTCAGTTGTGTCACTATTCTAAACGCAGACATATCGTACGAAACACACGACAACCGCATCAAAACACATCACAAAACTCATTTTTATCCTGAACATTGTTATTAATATACACTTTCGCAATAGATTCAACGTTGTTTTCCATTGACTCTAGAATCGAACGCATCTAAAGCACACACGTTCACGGAAAAGAAAAAAATAATAAAAATAAAAATATCGACACATTTTGAAGATTGTCTTTGACTACGTGCAACAATAACTATTCGCATTAAATTCAAATAAAAAGAAATTAATCATTGTTTTTCTTAGGTGTGATTCGAGTTGAAATCATATTGTTATGTGATAATTAAAAATCGCTTTGTTTCGATATAATCGCCGAAATATTTGCGGTGTGCATTGTATCGTTGTTGTTTTCATGGTGACCGCTATTATTGTTTTCTGAGGGGGAAATCTCCTTTTTTCAGTACAGTCTATTCCGCACGAATCCGTTTTTTTTTTGGTGAAATGAGCAATAGATGAATTTTCGTTGAAATACACTGCATTCCGGGCTGCTTTTTAACCGCTCTCAAAATCTCGAATGCATTACATGTATTTTATGAGAATATTGTGGTAGAGAGAGAGAGAGAGAGAGAGAGAGAGAGAGAGAGAGAGAGAGAGA